AAGCCGGCCCTGTGCTGCCAGCCTGGCTTTCAGCGACGTCATGGAACGCTGGAATGGTTTGGGTGGGAATGGATCTTAAAATCACCCGGTTCCACCCTCTGCCACGGGCAGGGACACCTTCCACCATCCCAGGTTGCTCTAAGCCCTGTCCAGCCTGGCCTGGAAGATTTCCAGGGATGGGGCAGCCACAGCTTCTCTGGGAAGCCTCTACCAGAGCCTCTCCACCTCACGGGGAAGAACTTCTTCCTTTTATCCAGTCTAAATCAGCATTTTTGGTTTAAAATCGTCCCTCCTTGTCCTACTGCAACAGGCCCTGCCATACATCAACTGGAATTGGACTTGATCCTTGGGATGTCCTGGAGAGGCACCTGGGGGTTGCTGGAGCAGCACCGTGGCCCCCCCAATCCTCAATCCCCTCAGCTGCTTCTCACAGCATTAATGCCCATCAGTTTTTCCCTGTCAGGAGCAGCTTTTCCAGCAGTTCTGCAGGAGCGGGGGTGGCTGGGCTCAGCTAGGGCTGAACAATGAAATAATTGGGATTATTTTAAGTACATGAGGTTTTATTCTTTTAAAGAGCGAGAGTAATTAACCACCTGAACGTAACAGCAGCGCAGTGGGGCAGAGTGAATGCTCCAGGGAGGGGCTGGAGCCTCTCCAGGGAAACCTCCTGCCTTCACCTCACACAGAGCAGGACAAACTTCCTGGTACTTCTGCAGGGGCTGAGCATAACCCTGGAATGGACTCTTCTGTCTGCAGACCTGAAATCTCAACACCCCCATTTCCAGGCTCTCAATTATGTGGCACATGGAAGCATTTTGAGGATGTCCAGGTGCTGCCAACAGCAATTCCTAAGGATTCCAGCGTGGCAGGAGGGAATCACACGGGCACTGGGAGACGCTTCCAGTGGGAGAGGGAATGAGGAGGTTGCCCACACACCAGTTCAGAGCAATTTCAGTTCCGTTTCCCAGCACTGGATGTGACATCACGAACCTCTTCACACCAGGAACCACCCTGGTATAGGGTGACCACAAAATCCCAACCTGGTCTGGGTGGGCAGGGAACTCCCAGGCCTTGTTCCACCCCCTGGTGAGCTGCTCTGACCCATCACCCCCATATTCCCCACATGTCACGTTAAGTCAAGCAGCTGGCAATTGTCTACAAACACCTCTCCATGGGCAGGGGCTCTCCAAGCCCTGCTGAAGCAGGATCTATTCTGCCAGCAAATCACACCTAAAATCCTCTTTTCCTGGCAATTCCAGCCCATGGGTGCATGGAAATTCCATCCCCCCAATAGGTATCCCTGGACATGAGCTTCAGCTCATGACTTTGATCCAGCATGATGAGAAGCAAACGTGGGATTGTAACATCCAAGACATTGTCTCCAATTTAATTTTTGGGCTCTTCCCCCCCACCCCGCCCCTTCCCACTGCAATTGCACATTCAGGAGCACAGAGCCCCTTTCATGTTTACTTATCCTTAGATTGCAAAAATTGTCACGTGAATTCCTTCCCCAATTAGCTCTGGTACTCAAAAATAAAATATTGTTCTGTTGCCAGCACAGTTCTGATCATTCATGTCCTTTATACTTTTATTCCCCAGAGACACTTGAAAAGCGCTTGCTCCTTCCTCCTCCCCTGCAAAGCCCCCTTGGAAAATTTGTAAAACAAAAAACAAGCAGCGATTCTAAAGGAAAGGCTTTGGTGGCTGAAGTGCCACTTCCATTCACCTTTCCATGATGGAAGGGGAAAAATAAAGATCAGAAGGAGGATTTAGACAAAAAGCCAACTAAGTAAAGGTAATTTCTGATATAGGAAAATCTGCTTGTTGTGTAGAGGTGCTTTGTTGAGTGGAACAGAAGAGACATCACAGACTCTGCAGCAGGTTTTCAAACATTCCCAGCTTCCTTCCCAATGTGCCACCCGATTCCACACCAACCTAGAGACACATTTTGGAATGCCAATGTCCATGGAATGAAGGTGAGGAAGACCACCCAGCCCCTGCCCACAATGAGCCCCAGATGGACGCAGGCACAGGAGAATTGTGAGTGCAGCTGAAAACGTTTATGGGGAAATTCCAAGAGCCACCTCAAAGTACCCAGAGCCACCCAGTGAGTGTATGAGCAATAAATGGGACAAAAATTGTGACACCTTCCTCTGACCATGCTCATCTGCTCACCCATCCAGGGCTTGGCCCCAGTGGGACTGAGAGCCCGGCGTGTTCATGGGGACAATCCGTGACCCAGAGCTGCCCATGGAGATAATACCAGGATAGTTTTGGTTGGTGGGACCTTAAAGCTCACTCATTTCCACCTCCTGCCATGGCAGGGATGCCTTCCACTAGAACAGGTTGCTCCAAACCCCATCCAACCTGGCCTTGGTTAATGCCACCTAAAAAACCCCAAGGTTCATTTGGTACAGGAGAAATCCAGTAACAAAGAACTCCAAAATCTATGAAGGGAGCATCCTTTACCTAGTCTGTATTTTCATTTTTTTCCTCCTTGGTGGGGCTGAAGGGACTTGGACCATCTCTTCTCCCAGATAGTGACCAGAAAAATGTCACACAGGCTGCTGTCACACACAAAAACACAAAAAAAAAAAAAAAAAAAAAAAACAAACCAAACAAAAAAAAAACCAAACAAAAACCACAACACCAAAACCTAAAAACTCCCAACTTTAGACACAAACCTCATTAAAACCAGGGGACAGAGAAGAGAGGGAAGAGCTCAGTGTGCCAGCAGTGCTCCCTCCCCGGGCTGTGCCGCAGAGGTGATTTCGCACTCCACGGAGCGCGGTGTGAGGAGCCGCAGCAGCAGCAAACAGGCTCTGGAATCAAAAGAGCTCCCTGGCACTCCACCGGCCCCGCAGCTCCCATTCCAGGCAAGGAAATTTGCATCCAAAGCATCAAGAGCACTTTACCTCGAGTTTAAAATAAATTCCGAGCAGATCCATGCCGCCAGCTTGTGTTTGTGACTGGAATCCCAGCCAGCAGCAGCCGGAGCCTGTCCCCATGGAGAGCTCAGGAAGAGGGGATGGCACAGAGCAGGGAACAGGGAGAGGCGAGGACAGCACAGCTGCAGCTGGTCCAGCACCACGGGCCACAGCAATTAGTGCTAATTGGGGTAACAGCCCCCTGAGCCTGAAAAGGAACAAGCACTTGGTTCACATCCTGTGGCAGCTCCCAGCACCGCACGCAGACAGGGCCTGAAAGCACAGAATCATGGAATTTATTTTTTTTTTAGATGGGAAAAGACCCCCACAAGATCATGAAGTCAAACTATTCCCCCAGCACTGCCAAGGGCACCATTAAACCGTGCCACACCCAGGGGTTTTCTGAACGCTTCCAGGGGTGGTGACACCACTACTGCCCTGGGCAGCCTGTGCCAGGCTGGATCCCTTCCTTTTGGGGAGGGAATTTTCCCTCATATCCAATCTAACAGGACAGGGTGATGGTGTCGTGCCCATGTTGCTGCTAATGAACGCTTACTTCGTTAGCACTGCAGTTAATTTGGCTCAGGAAAGGCAGGGTGCCCCCAGGGGTGCTGCTGTTCATGTCTGTGCTGGAGCTGGTGGCATCACTCCATCAAACCAGGGCATCCCAAAACCTTGTCAAGCCCAGAATCATAAAAATCTTCCCCAAACAAGTCCTGACAGGGCCAGGTGGAACCTGGTTCAAGTGCAGCCAGGGCAAGACCCTCCCCTGCTCCTGAGAGAGACACTCCCCTGAGAGAGAAACCCCAACAGCTCCCCAGGAGCCTCCCCAAAACCTGCTGCTCCCTCACCCCAAGGCCAAGAGAGACAAAATCCCCAAGGGGCACTTCCAGCTGATCCCAGAGAGCTGCTGGAGGAAGCAGATGCGCCTTTCAAGGCACCAGGATTTATTTGCAGCTTCCCCAGGTGCCGGCAGTGCCCTGGCAGCTGCAAGTCTGGTCTGTGAGTGCCACCTACAGGGATCCCCTGTGCCCCAGCTCCTGGCGTGCCCCCCAGAACCCCACCAGTAACGAGACTAAATCGTGGAGCAAACAAAACCCTCTCTGCTCCTCGGCTGCCCCAGGACATGAGCAGCCAGGACACGGGGACACGGGCAAGGTGGCAGAGGGGGACAGGGGGAACGTGGCTTCTGTTTTCTCAGTGCCACCAAATCCACACAAGATGAGAAGCGGGTGTGAGTCAGGGAACGCCCTTGGTTTTGTTCTGGAACTAATTCCTGGCAGGGAGGAGCCGGGACATTCCCATTTCAGCCTGGAGGAGAATCAGGGGAGACTCCCGAGGGGCAGCTCCATCTCTGCTCTCCCGGACAAGGGGCAGGAGCTGAGGGAAGGGCTGGAGCTGTGTCAGGGGAGGTTTAGGGTTGGAGATTAGGAAAAGATTCTTCACTCTGAGGGTGTTGGCAGTGCCCAGGCTCCCCAGGTAATGGTCCCACCCCCAAGGCTGCCAGAGCTCCAGGAGCATTTGGACACTGCTCCCAGGGATGCCCAAGGTGGGATTGTTGGGGTGTCCGTTCACCCCATCGAGTTGGACTCGATGGTCCCTGTGGGTCCTTTCCAACTCAGAAGATTCCAAGATTTTACGACCCAGGGAACAGCATCTCCTTCCTCACTTCCAAATAAGCAAAATGGAACTTGGTTCTGCTGCTGTTGAGAGGCCAGAATTGGCCTCACAGGGACCTTATTTAGTCTTCTCTACAACAAAAGGGATTAATGTGAGAACAGGGAGAAAGGAGGAGACTTCAGGAAACTGAAACCCACCCAGAGACGATCGGAGAATCACAGAGTCACAGAATGGTTTGAAAGGGACCTTAAAGCTCACCTCATTCCACCCCCTGCCATGGGCAAGGACACCTTCCATAGACCAGGTTGCTCCACGCTCAATCCAACCTGGGTTTGGACACTTCCAGACAGGACACAAGGTGAGCAGCAGCCCTGGGAGCAGGAGCAAGGCAGGGGGAAAACCCAAAGCACCCCATAAATCAATGGGTTCTCCACAGCAGCACACAGGGAGGGATGGGTGGGCTGGAATGCTTTATTCCAGTGGTACCAGGTACAAGGGAGGGAATGCTGCAATGACAAGAAAACCATGGCTCGATACAGGGCCAGTGGCTGTTTAAAGACAGATCAGCAGTTCAGGAGGGTAAAACAAGAGCTGCTCCTTGGGGAGCTCAGACAACAACGTGCTCAAGTGCTGTTTATTGACTCCCACCACAGCCCCTCTCCCAGCACTCGCAGGGCTGCAGGTCCCATCTCAGGCACAGAACAAAACCACGAGAGCTGATCTCACCCCGCTCCCATGGATCCCATTAACCCTGCCCAGTGGGTTTGGGCAGGCTGGTACCAGCAGCAGACCATCCCAGAAAGCCTCCAAGGTAACAGAGGGATTATGTAAACTTTGTAAAATTGGTTTTGCATTAATTCAGAGCAGACTGTTGTGTGGTGAGTGTTACAGGTCGTGGTCCATTGGCTCCTTTTTGTGGGATGAGCAGGAATCCTGCAGACCAACAGGCACATGGAACCTGCACCAACACCCTGATTCATTCAGGAGAAAGAAAAGTGCAGCAGTGGCTGGTGAAGTCTCAGCCTGCCCAGGACCAGGCACTGATGGGTCTGTTTGCATTCCTGTGTTTAGCCTGAAAAACTACAACTGGAAAGCTGCTGGAAGATCCAACTGAAGCAGAGAGACCTAAAACGAGGGTATCAAATACACGTGGAGGAACTGAAAGAGTAATGGAAGAACACCTGAACTGCTCCTTTGTGGAAATGTCACGTGAGGTGTTCAAAGCTGCTGTTATTTGCAGGAGCCACCCCAAAACCCCCTGCCCTGGCCTGGCACTGCTCACACTGCAGGAATGTGATCCAGCTGATTCTTCCTGGAGAAATGGGATCACGCTGAGCACCCCAAGGAGTCTCAGATCTGTCACTCGGTGCTCTCCTCTTAGAAAAGGCCTCCAAGGACTCGGAGCAGAGCAGGGATGCAAAGGGCAAACCCAGATGCCAACTGCTGTTGAGGGGCAGGATGGAAGTGGAAACAGCTCCAACCTGTCTTCAGCCCAAGACCAGGACAAGTGACAGCCTCACAAGCACCTTTGTACCCTGCACCCTTTAAAGGCGACCAGCAAGACTCTGAAAATATGGAAGTTGTGTAGGAATTCCAGGCTGGCACCTCAATTTCCTTCCCTGGTACCTGCACAGCCCAGCCCAGCCCAGGCACCACATCACCTGCTGCATGCCTTTCCCTGCTCAAACACAAATATCTGCTCCAGCCAAAGTTAATTCCAGCAGAATTATTTTCAGGGCAAGACCTACTGCTTGAGGTTCCCTCTGATCTGAATAATTTAACATCAAACAGATATTCCACTTCTGTGAGGTGAGGAAACTTGAGAATTGCAAACCCCACCTGCCCAACAAGAGGGGAGTCTAAGGAATGCTCAGGGTCATCACTCTGAAGGAAGGATGAGGAATGTGTTGGTCAAACACTGAGAATGGCAGTGGATTGGGACAGTCAGACTCTTCTGGTTTCAACAGCACAAGGAACAACTTTCCAGAGGGAATGAAAGAGCCAGGGAATTACCAGTACATGCAGCCCTGCGGGATCAGGAAATATCCCTGCCCATGGATCACAGAGCTCCGATCATCCCCAGGGAAGCTGCAGCCGGGTGGAGCCATCCCAGCGATACCCACATGGAACCTCTGCCTGCTCCCATCTGCAGCAGCTCCAAGCAGGGAACACCCAAAATAGGTGTGAAACGATCCAAAGGACAGGAAAACAGGGCACATGCACTGTGTGCACATGGCAGTGTTATTAAAAAAATATATATATGTATGTATTTTAAAATCCTTTGTGCACATGAGAGACAGAGCTGCCACGGGGCTGGGATTTCTCCAGGAAACCTCACTTGTCCTGAACAGAAAAACGTGGCCACTTGCACAGATCACAGCACTCCCTCAGCTGCCTCGGGAGAGACCCTGCAGCATCTGCCAGCCCCCAGCCTCCCCCTGATCAGCACATCCCTGTCCCTTCTCCAAGAGTCCTCGGTGCCCCTGATCCACAGGGGATTTGCAAGCCAAAGGAAAGGAGCCAAAGGAAAGGAGCCAAAGACATTCTAAAGTATTCAACCTAAAGGTAAATACCCTAATTTTTCACCCTAAAGGTGCCACAGGGATCCTCCCTGCCCGCAGGGCAAATCCCTCGGGTTCTCCAAAGGCACTACCAGCTTGGGGGGGAGTGGGATTTAAGGATGTGCTGCTGGTTCCCAAGGAACGGCCACAGACAGAATTCTGCACTTGGCGAGCAGTTTTCACTGACTCAGCAGCAGAGCCACCCACCACCCACCTCCTGACACGTTCACCTTTGGTCCTACAATCAGATCCCAAATATCCACATAACAATGGGCTGCAGGACAGATGCCAGCTGAGTACCAGCCAAGGGAATGAAACTCCAGGATTATGCAGGGCTGTCCTGAATCACAGTCAAGAGGGGTTGGGGTCCCCCTTTTCCAGTCATCAACTGCTCCGTGACACTCCCTGGCTCACATCTGGCTCTTCCTCAGGTATCAAAAAATGCAGAGCTTGGCAGAGGTCACACATGTCCATGGTGAACTCACAACTGGGGCTGGGCAGAGTCTAGGCATTCCCAGCCCTTTTGGTAGCTCTTTTGGAGAAATATTCCTTTGGGTTGTGGCCCCTTTCATTTGTTAACACGTCTGTAAACCCATGAATGACCTGGATTATCCCAGTAATTGCCAATCCTGCAAAATTTAACTCGTTTAACTCGTTCCCAAAACTGCTCTGTCTGAACTATCACCCTCCCACCCCCTTTTGTGTAACAGAGCTCTCACAGCTCCTCCCAGAAGCTGATTACAGAGACACTTCCCAAAGAAGTAACCTAATATTGCATGAAGAGGATCTGCCTGGAGAAGGAATCTGATGCTTCCAGGGCAAGGAGAAAGGGATATGAGGCACGGGGGCAGCTCAGATCTCAGGTGCTGAAAATCATCCAGAAGCATCTCCTTTACCTCAGCCCTTCCCTGTGCAGTGAACAGCTCCCATCCTTCCCCAGAAATGTCCTCAAGAATGCAGGTGAAGAAAACAGTTTTGGTCCCCTCTCCCCTGCCCCAGCTATGGAAGGGCTCAAACTGTTAGTTAAGTCACTGTAAGCAGATATAAAATTTGAGTACTGGAGATTCCACTGGGATTGGACCCTCCATCATTCCAGGCAGGCAGTGCTCTGTCCCGAGTCATCTGGAAAAAAAGGAGACACCCAAAATCAGGGGGTGCTGAGGTGACATTCCTCCTTCATCTTAAAACAACCTCCCCAGAAATCAAACTTGTAGGATGTGAACACAATCCTGCTGGGAAAGCAGGAATGGATATGAGAGGGGGAGTTTGAACTGTGATGAGACCTGGAAACAATTCCCATAATGAAAAAAGAAAACCAAAACAAACCAGGGATTTTGCTGGGAAAACAGGGACGCATATCCTGATGGGATTGGGAGTTTGAACTGTGATATGAGTTGGAAGCAATTCTTAAGCTGAAGGGAAAAAATCCAGGAATTTCTGTTTCCCTGTCTAACACAGACTGGGTACAGGGGCTGCCTCTCCCAACAGCTCTGTGACCCCACAGCAGTGTCCAAATAACCCTGTCAGTGAGACTTTCCCGGGCCAGAAAATGAGGAAAAGTGAGATAAATCCGTGTGCCAACACAGAGACCACACACAGGCGTTTTAATTTATGCAGATCTGTTTGTAGGAGCTGTGCCAGAGCTCCCACAGCTTTGGGAAAGGAGCCTCAGCCCCTTGTGAGGAAAAGAGCAACACAAAAAACACACAAAATGTTCCCTCACCGCCTCAGGTTCCGGCTTTCAAACACGGTGTCCTCGTCACTGTCGAGGGAGCCCAGCTCGATGTTCTCATCCTGGCTCGACAGCAGCCCATACTTCTTCCTCTGGGGCTTCTTCAACCTGAAATGAGTTTTGGGCTTGTTTCTGGGGCCCTCGGAGCTGGGGATGAGGGACAGGGAGAGCACAGTGAGTGAGCCGCTGTCCCCACCCAGCGGGTGGTTTAGCGGAGATGGTTTAGCGCTAATTACCTCGGGTAATTAACAGCGTTAGGGATTTACAGCAACGTTTTGGACTCGCTGCCAAAAAAAGATGCGTGGGGAAGCAGAACCCCGGCTGGGAGAGAGAGGGAGGGAGGAAGGGAGGGAGATTCAGGGAAAATGGGCACAAACCCAGGGATTAGGAGCAGGACTGGGGCAAGCAAGGGACAGGGGACGCTGAACGGCTTTGGGGGGACTCAGAGCAAGACCGGGACGGGCAGGGGCACAGCCATGGGGGACAGGGACAAGCAAGGACACTGCCACAAGCAAGGGGGACTGGGTCAATCGGGGTGACATCCCTGACCAGGGGGAACCACGACTAGCACGGCACATCCCCGTGCCAGATAACCCTGGAACCGGGGCGAGCTGGGACACAGCCCGGGACAAGGGCAACAGGAACGAGGAGCAGCAGGGACACAGCCCCGGGTCAGGGGGACACCAGGGTGGGGACAAGACCAGCAGAACGCGGACACAGCCCTGCACTCACCGGAACGCCCGCAGCATGAAGTAGAGCGCGGCCAGCGCCGACAGAGCGCTGAGCACATAAACCGCGCGTCTCAGCACCGGCAGCCCCGACCCCACCGCCAGCCTCGGCCCGGGCTCGTGCTCCCACACCGACTGCGTCTCGTTCCGTGGGGCCGCCCGCGGCGGCTCCGTGCTGTTCCCCGCGCTGTTCCCCGCGCTGGGGGCGGCGGCGCGGCCGAGGTGCGGGACGAGGACGAGGAGGAGGAGGAGGAGGAGGAGGAGGAGGAGGAGGCGGCGGCGCGGCATGGCCGGGCCGGGGCGGCGGAGCGGGAGCGGCGGCCGCAGGAAGGCGCCGGGCCGGTGCGCGCGGCGCAGGCCCCGCCCGGGCCCCGCGGAACCGCTCGCGGGTTCCGGGGCTGCGCCGTTCCGGGCCGGCCGTGACCCGCTCACGGAGCCGACATTTCGCCCTCAGGGTTGCTGTTGTGCCCTCGCTGGGCTGCGCGTAGATCGGCGGCGACGCCATTTCTCCCTCACTGCAACACCCCGTCTGTCAGAGACGCCATTTCCCCCTCAGGGTCATCCTTCCTCCCTCAGGGCTGCTGCTGCCCTTTGAGGACTCTCATTCCCTCCTCACAGCCGCCATTTCCCCCTCAGGGTTGTCCTTTCTCCCTCAAGGCCACCATTTCCCCGAGGGTCATCCTTCCTTTCTCAGGGCTCTTGTTGCCCTTTAAGGACTCTCATTCCTCCCTCACAGCCGCAATTTTCCCCTCAGGGTCATCCTTCCTCCCTTCAGGGCTGCCGCTGCCCTTTGAGGACCCTCATTCTTCCATCACAGCCGCCATTTCCCCCTCAGGGCTGCTGCTGCCCTTTGAGGACTCTCATTCCTCCCTCAGAACCGCCATTTCCCCCTCAGAGTCATCATTCCTCTCTCAGGGCTGCTGCTGCCCTCTGAGAACTCTCATTCCCTCCTCACAGCCGCCATTTCCCCCTCAGGGTTGTCCTTTCTCCCTCAAGGCCACCATTTCCCCGAGGGTCATCATTTCTCCTTCAGAGTCGCCACTTCCCCCTCATAACAAGCCCTTCTCCCCCCCAGAGCCGCCATTTCCCCCTCAGGGTTCTCCTTCACCCTTCAGGGCGGCCCATGGTGAACACAGCTGGAAACAGGAGCATTTTGAGCATTTCAGTAATTTCTATCCCCCACCTCTTCCTTCTGCAGACATTTCTGGCTGAGCAGGGCTCAGTCACCACCCTTCAGCCCTGCTCCACTTCCCTATTTTTTCCTCAGGGAATGGCTCAAAGCTGCCTGGACACACAGGGCTTACTTTTTTAAAAAAGGGCATTTTGGCTAAAACTGGGTCACCCAAGCTCACGTCAGACCCACAGCACCCAAACACCTTCCTGGTGACGCACTGGGTTCCACATCCAGCCCCTTGCTCCAGCGATTCCCTCACCCATCCCAGCAATACATCATTAACGCAATGCCATAATTAGCAGTGCCAAAAATAACAGCACCTTCAACCAGGCTATTTTTGCACCCGTTCATTATTTCTGCCTGCATCGAAGCATCCTATTTAGGAAGGTCTTACAAAGCATTATTTGTAAGTATTTTCAGCCTGAATTAATTTAAGCCTCACCTGACTGCATTTTTATCAGCAAAGACTTCACACACTCCTCACAATTCATTGTATTTCATATCCTCCTGCATTAACATGCAAAAATCCTCACTGGTGAATTGCTCAATACAACCCCCAGAAGTGTGTCATGGCTGATTGCTTTTTTTAAATGCTGCTTTCTTAGATAATTTGAAAAAGGTTAAAGGAGGAAAAGTAGGTTTTGTGAAGTGAGCTCAATAATCCCCTCCTGCAGGCAGGAGTGTCTGGAGACTCTTATCAGTGGGATTGGGCAGCAAGTTCTCAGGGCTCCTGAATGAGCCCATCACCAAATTTTGAGTTTATCCGTTTCAAAAAATGGGGAGAATAGGGTAGGATGAAGCAATCAACTCTTCTCTAACACGAAACAGAAGGGCAGGAGCAGCTGAGATCATCAAAAACTCACTGCTCTCACCCTGCAATCTCCTGCCAGAAACACATTCAGCTTGTCAGCCTCTCCCAACATTTTATTAATCCTCATTACCAAGCTGCCACATTTTTGGGATTTTACCTGCAACAAGACCTCATTTTCCACGAGGATCACACATCAATCTGCTTGGAGCAGTGTGTCCACCTCCGAGCACCAGAGTGATGGTTTTGCTCTGTGCTCTGAACTGGGCTGTGCACCAAATACTTTTGCCAAAAACATTCTGTTTCCCACAAAAAGTACCACAGAAATTTGGTTTTTTCCACATTTCAGTGTTTTATTCTGTCTTGATTGATTTGGTTCATGTAAAAATGATCAACACCACTGCTCTGTGCTCTTCATGTCTCCACTCCAGTGTCTGTCCTTCTGCCTTCTCTGACATGTCTCAGTGCTGAAACGAAATGGAGACAAGAGAAGGTGGATGAAGATACAGGAAAGGAACGGGGTTACTGCACCACTTAAGAGCTCAGGGCTACAGAACAGGGACACAGCCAAAGGAAAAACAAAGAAAAACAAAAAAACCATGAAAGGGACATTACCTGGCTGGCAAACTTGCTGCAGCATCCCTGGAACGCAGCTCTGGTCGCTCAGGATCCGCTGGGCCTCCGAGGTGTGTGCCGGGTCCCTTCAGCCTGCTAAAGCAGAGAGGCATTAACAAAGGCCCAGGGCAGAGGCTGCTCTCGCCCCCAACCTCCCCACACAGCTCACAGCGCACGAGGGTCTCACAAGCCATCGCTGAACCCATCACACCACAAAGCACAGTCTGGGAAAACTGTTCCGGGCCGGCTGCTGCCCGTGCTCAGCCAGCCCATGGATTGGATCCCCTAAGCAGAGAGTTAACACTTGGACATGGCTGCTTAGGAAGTGTGGGCCATGGGAAAAAGTTAATGGCAACAAGTAGGATGGCAAAGAAAGCTACAATTAAAGTGAGCAACTTAATGAAGTCTAGAAGAGTCTCAATAGATGAACACATATCGAGTCAGGGAGTTCGTTCCAATCTTGCTTCCGTACCTACAGCAAGACACGGCTGCATGCCCAACTCTGATCTGTGGAACTCAAGGTGTGCCACAAGCCAAAGGTTGCATACGGCATGGGTTAAACGTTTTTCCAGTAGCTGACCAAAATTGTCAAAAGGAATATTTCACAGGTACATTAGACTTTCAAATGAGCTCTCAACAAGAGGAAGGATGCGGACATGAGCAAAAGGAGTTACCTCGAATTACAGGACTATTTCCACATATGAACTAGCCAAGAGAGCAGCTCTCGTCTCAGAGGTTTCTGTTGGAGGCACAACACTTCTTTTCTCCAAGGACACTGCAGTTTCCATTTGCTAGCAAAGAATTCTTAGAACTTGTAAGCAATGACACAGCTAAGCTAAGCCCGGCATTCCCCTACATCACACACGCGCTCGGCACGCAGGGAACAGCCCAGGGACTACAGCACTTGGCTCTTCTCTACAGCTTCCCAGTGTAGGCTACAGCAGCTTTGGAGCAAACATCCATTATCCTTCCTAACATTCCAACTTCACTTCGCTCCTAGCACACCCTCAGGTTTGTACTTCCAGCCTCTACAGACAAGTTTTGACTACTTTATGTGAAATTTCTTGGCCAATTCAGATGTCAAGACCGATTTTAGGATTTAAATTCCAGCGCCCGGGCAATCGTCCGGCCAGCTCTGCCACTGTCCCTAATCTCCTCCTCTCGCTCCCGTGACTGTTCTTCATCTCCAAGGGTTGTGTTGTGCAATGAAATGTAAATGTCAGGAGCAGAGTTCATTTCAGACGGTCCTTTAATAGGCTTCGTAAAGCCAAAGAAAACTGTATACAGGAATCCTTTACCACTTCAAATACAACAGCAATGGAATATGCATATTTCTTCCAGTAAAAAAGGACAATATAAATAAACATTTTCAAGAACCTCTTTATGGTAAGTTTGCAAGTCTAGTTCTGGGTCATTTACATCATTACAACAGTAAAAATACCGTTATGCGAGTGGAACATACAAGCACGTTTCTCTTTAGATATATCAAGGTGGTTTGCCTTCCAACGGAACCCAAGCTGCATTCCTACCTTGCTACACTAAAGGAATGTTACAAAAGACAAGGGTAATGCACTTAAAAAAAAAAAAAAAAAAAAAAAAAAAAAAAAAAAAAAAAAAAAAAAAAAAAAAAAAAAAAGAGAATAAAAAGTCCACAGCTTGTTCAGCTTCCAGTGAACATTGGTACAAGATCCTTGCTAGCTCAAAAGAAACTGAATTGGGGCCCCAACTTAGAAAAAAAAAAAAACAACCAAAAACGAACACCTTGGCTCATTCATGGAGAATAAAATAAAATCTGAAGTGCTTTCAAAGAAGATTAAAACCACTTGAAAGCAGAGCTTTCTCTGAGACAGTCTAATCAGACAGTCTCGTTTCAGAAGCTGCCAGGCTGTGTATGACAAGATCAGAACTGATAATACTACAAAAGTGAAAATACAAGTAGATGTACTACACAATAACCATTTCAGCGAAGCTCCAAAAATCTTTATAAATACAGCCATTGGAAGGACGATCTTGAGTCAGGAAGGATTTTTACTCGTTGTGTGTAGCTGAGGACAAGAAGCAGGCACAATTGTAAAGGCACTGAAGCAAAGACAAGTTCCAGCATTTTACTCCCTTTGCAATATTCCGAGGCTACGGCTACTTGGCTACTGAGATCCCCCACCCGCGGGTCAGTGCGTTAGGGCAGCCGAGTTTGGGCTCCAGGAACACCTTATTTTTTTTTTTTTTTTAAACACTTGCTTTGCCTTAGATCCGAGCAACTCCTGCACATGCATTAAATTAGAATCTCCCGGCACCACCACGTCCACAGCCTGAGCCTGCCCCAGCTCCAGGCTCAGGCTCAGCAGGTTCAGAGCTCCTACAGCACACGGACTCAGCGCTCCCGCTCGAAGCAGGACTTACCGTAACTGTCGTAGCTGTCTCTGTAGGACCCTCCTGAGTTCCTGTCTCCATAGCCACCTTGACTCCTGCGGGACAAACAGCACCTCATTTACAGCTGCTCAACTCCTTCTCTGCTGGGTTGAATTCCACCACAGCTTGCCCACGAGCCCTGGTGCTGGCAGAGCCCTTACCTGCTGTTATAGTAGTCTCTGGAGCCGTTATAGCCTCCACTTCTGGAGTCGAATCTGCTGCCGCCATAGCCTCTGTCTCCACCTCCTTGGAAATACATGGAAACGCGGTTTTTTTAACCATTCTGACAAGACACATTCCCCCATCCAGACATTATGACTGACCCCCATGCACTCACCTCTGGAGAAGCCACGGCCCCGGCCTCGGCCCCCGCGGAAGAAGCCCCGGCCCCCCGAGGACCCCCCTCTGTAGCCACGGGATCTGTTCTCAGATGATTTTCCAGCCTGGTCGACTCGGATCTGACGCCCATCTACAGACTAAAACACAACCACAGTTAGCCAAACTGAAACATTTAAATAGCAAGCACATGTAGAAGGAGTTGCATGCCTTCACAGTTGGCTGAGCAGTGCCAGGACTCGCTGCTCAAGAAATAACCATCTATTTCATGCCACAATTAAACCAAGTAGGCAAAAAACCTGATATATTAATTGCATTTACGGGAATACCTATAAAGTCGTATCTCAGTCATCCAGGTTCCATAATGGAACTTTATCAATTTGTATTCGTAGTATGTATATATATACATATAGGTTCTATGTATTAATCTATATAGCCAGATTTTTTACATCCATATCAGCTCATTTAAGACACTGGCATTTATCTGGTTTTCCACACAGCCTGAACAGCAGCACACCTCTGAGTCTCCTCCATTATGGGAAATGAAGAATCAACTCCGAAACCTCCTCACCTTTCCATTCATGGCCATCATTGCATCTTTTGCATCATCGATATTTTCAAATGTAACAAATCCAAAACCTCTGGATCTCTGAGTCTCTCTGTCTTTCACCACCACGACTATGAAAATGACATATAGGAAACAAAAACCCATCAGCACCAGGGAAATTTAACAGACTAAGGGAAACTATGTCATTGTGGCTCTGCAGTCTCACCTTCAGAAATCTGTCCGTATTTAGAGAAGACTTGCTCCAATGACTGCTCATTGGTGTCGAAACTCAGCCCGCCGACAAAGAGCTTTCCCTCATCTGATGCCATTCTGACCTGCCAAACCAACAGAACCGAGTCAGCAACTCAAAAAACCCACATAATCCCCGCCAGGCCACAAACATTAAATCCTTCTAACACTACCTATAACGCCACCGATGTAACCTCAAACTCCCGGACCACTTATGCGCCCCTGAGGCCACACCTTATGTGGTCTCCCAGCCTCAGAACGGGTCTCCCTCAGGGCGGGCGGGAGCGAGGGCCCAGCGGTAGGAGCATCACCGGGGCCGGGCCCCGGCGGAACCGGCGGCCGGGTCGGGTCCCGCCGAGCCCCGGTGGGACCCCCGCTGCCGGCCCCTCCGTGCCCAGCGCGCATGCGCGCCGCGCCGCGCCCCCTACCGGCCTCCCCGGCGCAGCGGCGCCCGCCGCCCCCTCCCTCCCGCCCGCCATTTTGCACGGCCGAGGCCCGTCGCCATTTTGTTTCCGCGCACGCCTTTCCCCCCGCCGCGGCCCCTTCCCCCTCGCGGCCCACACCGGCCCGCTCTGCCGCGCCCCCTGTGCCCGCAGAGGGCACCGATCGGCGGGTCGGGAGCTGCGGCCCAGCCTCCTGCGGGACCCCGAGCTCTGCCCCTAGGACACGGCTCCGCTCACCGCGGACCACCCCGCCCGGTGCGGTCGCGGACGCCCCGCGCGACTGCGCTCACCGATACCCGGGCGGCGCGAGGTTCCCACAACACTTCAAAGCTTCAGCGAAATGTACGGCGAGCCTGGCGGGGCGGCGCCTTATAAACGCCCGCGCCTCATCCCGCCTATCTTATGAATATGCAGATGAACCCCGCTGCAAGGAGGGGCTTCGCGTCACCAAAGCGCCGCCGCCGCTTCACCACCTGATTGGGCGGGATTTCATTAATATTAATGAACCGCGACGGGGGCGAAGCAAACAAAACCACGCCGTGGCCCCGCCCCTTCCACCCATGCGGGGGGGCGGGGGCGCGGCAGGCGGCTCCCATTGGCTGCGCGCGCGGAGGCGGGCGGGAGCGCCCCTGTGAGAGGGGAGGAAGTGGAGGGCGCTGATTGGCCGGGAGGGCGGGCCAGGCTGGCGGAGGGGGCGTGGCCAGGCTGGCCCAGTTTCGCGCCCTCTCGCACTGCGGCGGCGGCCGCAGACAAAGGGGCCGCCTCAGGGGCCGCCGCCATCTTGGGCGCCCGGCGCTGCCCCCGGCCGGGCTCCGGCGGCTCCTCCCGCCGCCGCCCCGTCGGTCACCGCCCCGCTGAGGGAGCCCGTTTTGTGCCCCAGAACCGTCCGCCTTCCTCTCTGTCCCGTGGGGGAATGATCCCTTCAGCTCCCTCTTTGCAGTGTTGCCCTAGATGATAGAAGTAGTCAAAGCAACAAAGTTTTCTTAAAAAAAAAAACAAACAAAAAAAACACAAAACTTTGCTCTCAACCTGTTTCCCCAAAAATTGAAAACTTTAAAAGCCCATCCTGAGGTCTGAGAAAAGTGAGAATGCCTTCAGCAGGAAAAACTTTGTATTGAAAGAGAAAATTGGCAAAGCCAAAGACGTGTCTTACCGAGAGGCGACACAGCTTTGAAAGTCCTCAAAATAAAAACGTTCGGTGTGCCATACATTACAATCTCACGTAGAAAAGTGTTAGGAAACATTGGAGAGGAAGAGACGCACGTGAAGAAATGGAGAGGGGGAGATGCAGGGGAGGGAAGAGCAGCGTGAGGAAACGGGAAGGAAACGCGGCGAGGACGGGGCTGTGCTGTCCCCGTGTGTGCCCCGCGCCCAAGGACAGCACTGGACACAGCAGGGTCACTGTGTGTGTGTCCCCTCTCCCAGGTACCGCCAGACACGTTTTTTCTGCTTCCACAAACTCCTTGTAATTCATGGTGCAGTTTGCAGCCGCAGTTTGCCGCTCCTTCCCTTTTCCCCTTCCCTTCCCTTCCCTTCCCTTCCCTCCCAGTATTTCCAGTCAGAGCCAGGCCGCACAGAAGAAAATCACTGGAGTACAAAAATCACAACTACTTGGTGACCGATTTCCAAACCACAGGGAAATGCAAAAAAACCTGCCTGTGATTGCTCTGTCGAGCACCGATCACCCATTCCCTGTGTCCCAGAACATGGAAATTAGGCTTTTCCTCTCTGATTTGTTGGGATCCCTTTGGGATCTGCAGGAAAAGGGCAGTTTGCACATAGGTAATACAGCAATTACAAAACCCAGGGGCACCACAGCAGCTGTGGATTTTTTGAGCTCACGGGGCCACAGGGACAGAATGCTGCCACCAAAGTGTTCAAAAGCACATAAAAGATCCCAATATTGATGACACACCTGGCCAATATTATTATTTTCGTACGATGAAAAAATGTACTCACTTTCCTAGGCCTGGAGAAGGGAGCAGACGCATCTGCTGTTACTGCAAATTGATTTTTGCCCTTCAAGAGAGGAAAAGATCCCAGCCCTGCAATCACAGGCACAGCATTTTGATTAAATTAGAGACCCATTAACGTGAGCATTTCTGGTCTGTGATGAGGGTGGATAAAGTGACCTTGATGCAGAGAGCCATTTTCCAGCCTGAGATGCTGGACAGCCAACACTAACCCCGCTGCAAACCTTGAGGGACAAACACCGGGATTCACTGGGATTTGACTCCACACAAAACCAGGCAGGTCGGGTGTTGTGAAAATAGCAGTGAGAACCTTTGCTGCTTTGGGGGAATTTGAGTCCCAGCAGGATCAAGGGCTGCTGGCAGCAGAGGAGCTCCTGTGACAGGGAATGGCGAGCACAGCCCTGCTTGGTTGTGTCCCAAAAGTTTGATTTCTGTCTCCCTGGGGCGTGTTGATGCCTTTGCTTTGACAGTGAGAGTCACCAGTGACACAAGGAGAGAGCTGGGCCAAATGGACACGGTGTGCTCTGGCCCCAGTGCTGCTGCTGCAGGGAGGGTTCAGTGCTCCAGTGCCCTGACTCGGGGCATCAGACATGGCATCAGACATGGCATCAGCTGTGGATTTGACAATCCTCCTGGATATTCCATGATCAGGCTGCACACAGGGGCCGCAGCTGCCCCACGTCACCAGGGACATCACTGCACGTCCCACAGGCTGGGCTCTGGCTGGGAGCAGCGCTGGGAGCAGCCAGGCAGGCAGCTCACCCGGCAGATTGCACCAGCCATTGGGGCAGTTAATTAAGCACTGAAACAGCCCGGGATTCACATCCTTAGAGCAAACCTCCTGCAGCAGAAGGGCCCTGCCCAGGGGCCCCAAGCAGGCAACACCACGTAGGAGATGCAGAGTTCACTCCTGTGTGAGTTCCAGACCTGAGCACCCATGGCTGTTTTCCCTGGCTGAGCCCTAATTTTGGTCACCTGGATCTGGCTGTGAGAAGGGCTGTGGCCGTAGTGACCCCATTTGACAAAAGTGCCAGCACTTCCTTAGGAAGTGCAAATATCCGCTCTGAAGCAGAGCTGTTTGTGTGTACAGGTGCAGCCACGGGAAATTGTGAATCACCAGAGGCTGGAGGGACCTCAGGGATCACCTGGAGCTGATTCAAGCAATCCCCCCACACACGACTGATGTTTTTATCACCTATTTTTTAAACCTTCCGAGGGCAGAGGTTGTAGGACCGAACATCCTGTTAATGCAAATCTGATTTCCTAGAAGTTCTGCCTGTCCAGCAGCACAGCAGGGATAGCACCACACGGAAATGCCACGGGGGAACCGTGACAGGAGGAGCTGTGCTGCCCTCCCACCTTCACCCCGTGCCATTCCCACATCAGCATGAGCTTCTCTCACATCCCACGCTCCATCCACAGCACCGCGGGCTTTCTCTGGGGGTCCCCACCTTGCTGGGCTGTTTGTAGGGCTCTTTCCCAGTCCCTGGAGTTGCCCAGAGCCGTGCAGCAGCTGAGCCCAAACCTGCTTGGCAGCCCTGGCACCTTTTGGGGAGCCAAGGGCAGCCCCCGCCCCGGGCGCTGCTCTGATGAGGTTCCCAAATCCCGGAGCAGCTCCTCCGGTGCTGCCGCCGCGGGCCAGGGCTGGGAACAGGAGCGGTGGAAAGGGGAGGACGGGGCAGTGGTGCCACATCTCATCCTCTGGTGCTGCTGTGCTTTACCCGGGGCTGGGAGGGAACAAAGCCCTCCAGGCAGCCCCCTTCCCCCGCCCGCTCCGGGTTCTGGCACAGCGTTCCTCCTGCTCCTGAGCCTCGGCAAAGCCCCCGGGACCATCCTCCCTGCTCCAGGCACAGCGGTGGGGGAGCTCCGCACGCCCCAGCACATCCTGCAGGGCGCAGGAGCCGCCTCCTCTGCCTTTGTTTCTGCTGGGATTGCAGGAAAGGAGGGAATGTGAGGCCGGAATGAAGATGTCATCCCTGCGCCTCCACCCCAGCCAACACCAAGCCTCTGGTTCCTTCCTGGTTTTCCCTGCAAGATCATCTTATACCAGGAGCAGGGAGATGCCACAGGGGAAGCACAGAGTCTTCCCAGGCCTCAGGGACCCCAGCACAGGACCCCTCGGTGTCCCAGCACAGCACCCATCAGTGTCCCAGCACAGCACCCATCAATGTCCTCAGCACAGCACCCCTCGGTGTCCCAGCACAGCACCCATCAGTGTCCCCAGCTCAGCACCCATCAGTGTCCCAGCACAGGACCCCTCGGTGTCCCAGCACAGCACCCATCAGTGTCCCCAGGTCAGCACCCATCAGTGTCCCAGCACAGCACCCATCAGTGTCCCAGCTCAGCACCCATCAGTGTCCCAGCACAGCACCCATCAGTGTCCCAGCACAGCACCCATCGGTGTCCCAGCACAGCACCCATCGGTGTCCCCAGCACAGCACCCCTCAGTGTCCCAGCACAGCACCCATCAGTGTCCCAGCACAGCACCCATCAGTGTCCCCAGCACAGGACCCCTCGGTGTCCCAGCACAGCACCCATCAGTGTCCCAGCACAGCACCCATCGGTGTCCCAGCACAGCACCCATCAGTGTCCCAGCACAGCACCCATCAGTGTCCCAGCTCAGCACCCATCAGTGTCCCCAGCACAGCACCCCTCAGTGTCCCAGCACGGGACCCCTCGGTGTGCCTGGCATGGGAGCCCTCGCTGTTCCCACCGTGTCTGGCCCTTGGCAGCCTTGGAGCCGCAAGCAAACACCAAACCAGGGCTGGATTAGGGAACTGGCAGTCCCAAAACGCCCCAGGGAAAAGAATATTCCCTTCTCCCTTCCTCCTGGCCCCGAGGGAGCTGCTCATCCAGCTTTGCAGTTGGAAAGAAAAGCCCTGCCGCAATCCCCGTTACCATGGCGAGGAGCGCGGCCGCTGCGCTTCCCGTGACCGGGATTTACCGGGCTGCAGGACAAAGCCACGGGGAGCGGGGCACGGCATCCGCCGGGATCAGATCCGCAGAGAACAGAAGGATGGGATCCACAGGGAGCGGGGGGATTGGATCCACAAAGAGCAGAATGATCGGATCCGCCGGGAGCAACGGGGATGGGATCCACAAGAAAAAGGTGCACGAGATCCGGGCTGGCACAAGGTGCCCTGAGGTGATGGGGGTCACAGCGGCGGGATATCCAAACTGCAGCGTTAGGAAATGAGCTGAGGTCCAGGTGGGATTCGGAATCGGAGATACTGGTGCACCCAGCTGGAGCCCAGGGGAATTGGGAGCTGGGAATGCCAGTGCACCCCGATTGAGGTCAGGGGGGATTCAGGGTTGGGAATGCCGGTGCACCCCGGCTGAGGTGAGGAAGATGGTGAAAAATAAGCATGTGGTAACCATGGAAACCATGTAACTGCCTTGGCACTGAGCAGCAGCTTTATCAGGGCTGGTGCTTCCCAGCTACACGATGGAAAACCAAATCTTGTGTGTCAGACCATCCCTACCTGCCCAAACACAGCCAAATTTAGAAACCACTGCACCCAGCATCTCCAGCAGCAGCCTCATCACCC